GGTACCGGGATCTTGCCTCCATCGATTCTCCATCCCTTGCATTCGCACGTCACCGACAGTTTTGGGCGGCGATGCGCTGAGGAATTTATATTGCTCTGCCCGTTTCCACAACCACAAGGCACACTCAGCCCAAGTAAACGCCTCACCATACAATTTTTCTGAAACTCGTAGTCGTCTGAACGTTCCTTGCCTTCCCTCATCTCAACACACCCCCTCCATAAAATCCAGCTCATACAGTCCGTCCAAAAAACACAATGGGCTCCATCACCACCCCTCCCTCGCTGCCCGCGCTGGCCACCAACCCCAGCTTCATATTCTTCACCGACTTTGACGGGACCATCACCGTGCAAGACAGCAACGACTACCTGACAGACAACCTCGGCTTCGGCGCCGCCAACCGCAAGAAATCCAACCAGGGGGTGCTCACGGGGCAGCGCCCCTTCCGCGATTCGTTCTCTGATATGCTGGACAGCGTTCACACCCCCTTTGACGAGTGCATCGCCACCTTAATCGCCAACATCCAGCTCGACCCCGGGTTCAAGGAGTTCCTCGCCTGGGCAAGGGAGAACAACGTCCCCGTGGTCGTGCTCAGCGGGGGCATGGAGCCCATCATCCGCGCGCTGCTAACGCACTACCTCGGTGAGGATGAGGCGGCCGGGTTGCAGATCGTTAGTAACCATGTTGCTGTGCGAGAGGGGAAGAGTGGGATAAATGAAGTTGGTGGGTGGAAGATTGTGTATCATGATGACAGGTACGTTACGTTTTAGCCCTTCCCTTCTCCCGGTTTTCAATCGTTTGTTTTGTCTGAGTGAGTGAGAGGTGGATGGATGTCTGTGACATATGGGGATGTGAGACGAGACTGACGAGTTGAGTTCTGAACAAAACAGCGGATTCGGACACGACAAGTCCTTGGAGATTAGGCCGTACGCGAACCTCCCGGCTGAGCAGCGGCCGGTGTTGTTCTATGCCGGTGACGGCGTATCGGACCTCTCAGCGGCGAAGGAGACAGACTTGCTGTTTGCCAAGGCAGGCCGCGGTATGTTGTTCAACTCTCACGACCCCCTTTTCCCAGTTAACAGTAAACTAATGTACTACTTGTAGATCTCGTCACGTACTGCGAGAACGAAAATGTCCCCTTCACCACCTTCAACGACTTCTCCGAGATCCTCGCCACAGTGAAAAACATTATGGCAGGCAAGTTGAGCGTCAAGGATGCCGCCACAGGAAGACAATGAGTTCAAGTTCCAACATCTCTCACTCACCAAGTAGTAAGGCTGGGGTGTGTTTCTTTTAACGTCAACGCTCTCTTTTTTTTTGAGGTCGTTATCATGCAGCCTATAGACTTATAGATCCATATATCATTCCAGGCGAGCGGGACGTTTATACCCGCCGCCATAAATAATCCCCCAAAAATAGCCATCCATCACCAAAGATCGACTCTGTTCCTAGGGAAATCCCGTGTTGTGTTTGTTCATAAGGACGGACCCCCAGTCCAAAAGATGGCATCAAGAAAATACCATGGCTCCCATATGTGCAAATTGCGAGGCAGGCATGCATGACGCAATCAGTCTCTCTTCCGAGCCCGATGCGGCAGGCCGTACCAGCAGCCCAGCATGACAACGAACAGCGCAATGGCAACAGGGTGCAGGACAAACGTGCCCACCGCCGAAGCCAGGAGACCCGTCACCAACGGCGCGGCGGCACCGCCCGAGCTGCCAAACGCCGACATGATGCCAAACCCACCCACCTGCTCGGACCTGTCAAGGTTGCGCATGAACACGGCCGCCGAGCACGGGTAGATGGGACCCAGCAGCAAGCCAAGAATGGCGACCGACACGGCACTCCCAATAATGTTCGGCACGAACCAAACCAGCAACTGGAACACGATGGCGCCCCCGACCATGATGTACACGCACAGTTTCTCGCCGAAGCGCTGTGCCGGCGCCGAGAGGAGGAAGCGCCCGAGCGTGATGCCGCCCCAGAAGCCTGACGTCACGTAGCCCACCGAGTCGGTGCCGTCGCGCGCCGCCTTGAGGAATTCGATCACCCACCCGGAGATGCTCACCTCGGCGCCCTGATACGCAAACAGGAACAGCGCCCCTAGCAGCACCACCGGTTGTGCAAACGACGACAGCATGCCCGCCAGGTTTATCTTAGGCGTTATCTTCCGTCTCGTATGTGGTGCCGCATGCTGCTGCTGCTCTCCCCCAAACAGTGGTTGATCTCCTCCTCCTCCTGTCTGCTCATAGTCGTCCACTTTATCATACCCCCAGAACGTGTACAAGGCGATGGCCCCATTCATCACGGTCAAGCCCAGGGTAATAAGATAGTACCGGCTCCAGACGGCATGGGCGGCCCCGGTCACCATAGTGGTGGCGATGAGCGGGCCCACGGTACCGCCCGCGCCGTAGGCCCCGTGCATGATACCCAGCGCCGTGGTGCCGTTGCGCAGAGATCCGCAGAACACGTTGCCCAGTGCCAGGTTGAACGACACGGCAAACCCAATCAGAAAAAAAGCCACGACCACGAGGGGGAAAGGGGGCGTGCAGACGATCATCACGTATGCGGCGGCCATGATGAGCTGTGCGAGGGCAAACGTGCGCGCCTGGCCAAGCCGCTCGCGGGTCCCGTCGATGAAGGCGGCTGCTGTGATGAACCCCAGCGCGTTGCCGACGAAGATGAGGGATACGACGGCGTATCCGATGCCATAATGCCTGGGTAGGATTCTAAAGTCAGCATTTTCCCCGTGGAGAGAGAGAGAGAGTGGAGATGGCTTTTTACAATTCCAAGAATCTGAGCAACGCTCCGGGTGCGCTGTCAGTCATGCCGCCGTTGAAGTTCATCAGCGAGACTGCGGCCAGGCGCCAGCGGTTCATGTACGGATCCATGATGCTTTGCATAGCCTCGACCTCGATGCCGTCATGGTTGCCATTGCTGTTGTTGCCGTACGCGGCAAGCGGAGTCGCGGGCCGGCTGCTTTCCAGGTCGGTACTGTCGGCCGCATAGGTACTGATGTTGCTCGTATTCTTGTTGTTGCCAGAGGGTCCAGCCGATTGGTTCGGGTTGTTCAACGACGACGATGATGCTGTATTAACCGTCATCTTGGGCTTCTTCGAGTCGATTCGCTGGAGCTCGATGGGCTCAGCCGCCTCGGCGGGGGCGCCGGGGTAGGTCCGTTGGACTGCTGGCGTGGGAGCGGAGGGCATTGCTGCTGCGGATTCCGACTCGACGGACACAAGTCCGTGGGCCAAAATGGGAGCCATGGTCAGCGAGACAGGGCGAGGATGGGTGAGGGCTTCGGCGGCAAGCAGGGGCTTGAGATGTGCGTTTCCCTATATGCACGTCGTACGTCGATGCTCAGGGGCTTGCTTTGAAGTAATCTATCCTCGTGGGGGGCCGCTGAACCCAGACAGGAGACTGTCCGGCACACCCTTGGCGGTGCGCCTTTGTAATGTTTTAGGAGTGAAGGAGCCCGAGAGGTTCCAGGGAATTCCAGGTTTGAGGTGAAGAGTGATCAGATAGACTGCGCCTGCCCTCCACAATCGATGGACGGAAACTTATCTATGGGCAAGAGTTACCAGTCCCCCCAGCCTCAGGCGAAAAGTTCAAATATCACACACTTCCGCACTAACACGGGTTGTATTCGATAAGCTGAACAGAGTTTCAACTAACATGAGCCAGTGGGGTGGGTGGTTTTACTGGGGGCATGATATGTAGCCGCGATTCCGCCGCCATCCGCCATGTCGGACAAGCTACCAGCGAAGGAAGCGCCATACCTTCCGCTCATCGGATATGGGATGTGGGATGAATATTTAAGCTGACAAAAAGCAAACAATGGTGAGCTGTCATTGGAGCTAGGGGGCGTGGAAAGGACGTGAAGCGTCATTAGGCATGATGACTCGATGAGCTAGGATGACGGTATCACAAACGGGAAGTCAAGGTGTGGCCGAGCCAAACGTGGAACCTCCGCTTCCCACTCACCCGACAACCGGGAAGCGAGCTTCGCTGGTTCTCTCGCTGCAGCTCTGAAGATTTGACAGTGGCAGGTGACCCCCACACGGACTCAATTGCATGCATGCATGGAATATTCGTATCACCGGGATCCATGCCATGCGGCGGGCGGCGGCTAGTGTTGTAGTTCAGGCGGTGGTTGAAGGTTTGTCCCATGGCGTCGAGCCGGCCCGAATATGAAGCTTTATCGACTGACGTCGGCGAATAGGAACACTGCCAAAAATGGGCCGCAGAGTTATTTGGCTTCTTGTGGAGACTCCGCTGCGTCCATCTTCAATGGCGGTCGGCGCGGGGTTGCTTCGTTGGGAACTTCCACATTGTGAAGGGTTAGGGTTGTGTGAGGGGAAGCGATTCAGGGGTTGCTCTGGAGGCATGATGTTAACGACTTGTTCAATGCATTCGCTGCAGTGTCTTTGTTCAACAAGACCAGTTGTCCTGCTTTCCACATCGAACTTTTGAAACTTGAAATAGCTAGATATAGCTGTTAGTTGTCGATCACGATGTCAGTTTCGACTTTGCTTGCAACCATGAATAATGACTCGGAAACAAAGACTCGGGCTTGTTCCGCAACCTCACTGAAAGCGATGCTTCACGAACATAAATGCAAAATCAAGTATTAGCAATTCCAATAAAAGTGATTCTATAACCCTATCTCTAACTACCTATTTTGTAGTTCATTTCATCAACTGCCTTTTGCTGCAGCTCGTGTCCCAAAATACATGCCACCTCCAAACGTAAAAGAAACACAACGCCTTTTTTTGGGAGTGTATCACACTATCTGTTCCAGCTCACAACTGATCTTTCCCTTTAGATTTAAATGCTCTTTTCATCTTACCAACCCTTCTTTCGTCTGTCATACCTTTGATGTACTAGCAGTCGGCATCAACTATCTCCGCAATCCAAAGTCCACACACACATCTACCAGCCACATCCACCACCGGACCAGCCCTCTTATTCCAAACTGGGCATTGTAACATTCAACAAACAACGGCTGGGTGGCCGAGCGGTCTATGTCGGCAGGTTCAAGGTTCTTCCTTATTCTTCCAAAGGAGAATTGCATTCTGTTCTCGCAAGAGGCGCGAGTTCGAATCTCGCTCCAGTCGCATTTTTTGTATCACCAGAACCTTTATCCTTTTTAGTTAAAAGATTAAAAAGTTCCATCGGCCGTCAAGTGGATATGGCTTTTTGTGGCTCAATCCATCGCGCAAATACCCGTTTCTCGCTCTCCGATCATTAGACAGGGTCGTGGTAGTTCACAAGGCAATGAAGCACCGAGAAAATTGAACAGCTGAAACGAAAAAGGATCATTCGTTCTGAGATGATGAGTACATATTACTTGGAAACAGAGCCATTTATATGGTTAAATGATGTTGTGGAGGCCGTGGCGATTTGAAAAGAAGCGAAGTGCTGTATTTGAACTCCAACTTCCCTCAATTCTCCTATCAAAGCTGATTCTTCCGTTTTATGACTGGGTTTTTTGGGGGGAATTGCTCTAGGACGAGCGAGGACGAGCGACAAGACCTGCCCTAAACTCATAGAGCACTACTATGTTATACATTTTGTACGTGGGAAGCGTGATGAAGAGACTTCCCTACCCCTTCACACATATTCACTGGGCGATATTGAGATCGCCGTGGGAGTACCTCAATTCTGCTTCCTAGAGACACGATCAGAGCTTCCTAGGTCAAGCACTACCAGATGAGGCTAAAATTGTACTAATCATTATGATTTAAAAGAAAGAAACCCTATTCACATTAGTTCAGGCTTGTAATTCAAAATCGAAGCTATATGTCAAGATAATTACTCCTAGAAGCGCTTAATACATAGACGTTCCTTTCTCGCAGGCCACTTACATCAGATGTAGCAACCACTCAACAGAGTTTGCCGCGTCGATTAGTGATTTCTTTTGGCGTACCAGGCATCAAGTTATATATACTCGTAACTTTTATGACCTGAATATTCAGCACCAATATTCTGCATTTCCACTCACATAGAAACGGTATCTACCCTAAGGTGGGAATTACATTAGTGTGCAGATATCATTCTCCTCAGAAGTTCAGCTTGCCGTTCAGCCATCTCAATCATTGCGCTGGAGATTGCGTTCTTAGTCCACTTCTTAGTTGTATTTCCTTTTTCTCCCTTGGAGATAAATTGAACTTTTATAATGTTCGGAAAACTTGAATTACTCAGTGTTTTTGCGGTTCGCTTGGAGCAGTTTAGCGATCCCAGTCTCAGTTTTCCAATTCAGATATAAGGAGGCACCGACTTGCACCGACTTTGACCTACTTCTGACTGTTTCCTGTCTTTTTTTTTCTTCGTAAACCAAAAATACCGAAAAGAAAGGAAAAAGAGTATAGGTTACTTATAGAGATGCTTCGATGAATGTTATATTGTCCGAGTGTGATGTAATAAGGCCTCTCACATGCATTGCGCACATGAGTTGATGATCTTGCCTACTAATGCCCAACCCCGGCCAGCTGAAATGCATATGGAAGTCAAGATTGCAGCTTCAGCCTCAAAAGCCCCGCATGAAACAGGCCGTTTTAGCGGGCTTAGAATTTAAGGTTGGGGACGAATGGCGGGGTCCCGTCTGCCTGCCGCGCAAAAAAATGCAGAGCTGCAGGGTCGCGGGGCGGCGGCAGCGCAGAACTTCCAACTTAGCTCGAAAGCCAGCCAAATTTTGTACCCGACCATCCAACTTCAAAACTCGGTGACTCAACCGCTGCCACACGGGCACCTAGGAACATTTGACCTAGACGAACATTTCTTCGTTGCATCCGAATAGAAAGACACCAGCATCAATAATCCGAGTATCGACAGACCGGAACCCGCAAACGACCGAAACCCTGCCATAATGTCCAACTCAGACGCCCCGCGAGGGGCTTCGGCGACAGCCTCCGGCGACGACGACGATGACCCCATTGTCGCAAGCTACAATGTCTTCATCAAGCCCGCCCTGCCTGCGAACCGCAAGCTCGTGGTCCTGCAATACGTGAACAAGACGTCCCAGGACCCGTCCAACCTCCGCGCGCCGCGCATCTCGGAAGTGCGCGTCAAGCCCGGCACGGGCATGTACGAGGTGGACGTGCCCATCGACACGTCGGAAGCCGGCTACGACCGGAACAAGGGCGTCATCTGGGGTACCTCTCTTCAAAAGACGATGGAGATCAAGAAGGGGGGCAGCCTGGGTCTCGCGGGGGGGTTCAATGTGGGCGCGCCGTCTGCGCGGGGCGGCGGCGCTGGCGGGCGAGGTGGGCGACGAGGGGGGGCTGGGGGCGGCGGTGACGACGACGATAGCAACGTGCAGCTGAGCTGGGCAGAGGCGGCACGCCAGGGCAAAGTGCTGCAGACACAAACGCTGATCGGCGGCAGCAGCGCCGAGGACATCATCAACAAGATGCACATGGTAGGCGTGTTCCAGGGGAGTGAGTGACCTATTACCCAACCAAGACGTGAAGATTTAACTAACCGCAACCCCCTACCACAGAAAACATCCACCTCACCCCCGTCTCATCCCTAGTCCACCTCCGCCCAGCAGCGCACCACCTCGACGCAGCAGTCGAACAAGAACGCCTCAACCGCGCCTCAACAGCCACTGCCCCGGTAGGCAGCGCACCTGACAAGTCCGCGGGACGAGCAATCCACATGACCCTCAAAGCAGCCATGGACGACGACGGCGTCGCGACCGAAACCATGGCGGACCGGCTCCGCTCCGTACAGACCGAGCCCTGGCGACAGATGGAATGGGTCCACGACGAAGCCGAGGCCGCGTGGGAAGCTTACAACGAGTGCCTCCTCCTCCGGTCCGGTAAACCCTCTACCACCACAAACCCCACCCCCGCCGCCAAAGACGACTCTGAAAAAGACAAGAGCAAGGGAAAAGAAATAGAAATAATCGACAACCCAGCCGAAACGAACAACGACGACAGCGGCGCCCCAGATCTGGCAGAAAAAGTCCCCCTCCTAAAAACCGACTGGAACGAAGACCAGCTTCTCCGCGCCGTGAGCGGCATCGGACCAAAGGACAAGAAACCGGGCGAAGAAGCTGTATCAGCCCCCGGACCTGTGCGGTCACTTCCGGGCCCCTCCAAGGCGAAAAAGCCGGCGGCAGCGGTCAAGGTAGAGAAGAAGCCCGCGGCGGCTGAAGAAACGAAAAGGGGGCGGCCCGGACGGCCTGCCAGGAGCACAGCTACTGCTGCCACTAGAGCCGGAAGGGCACCGCTCAAGCCGGACACGTCTGGTTCTACCAGTGGCTTAAATGTAGATTAGTATCTCGAGGACTAGGTAGGCGCCTACGCATGACCTCCTGGTTGTCTGTCTGTTGGGTGGTAGAAGAAGAGAAATAAGAAATCAGTCTATATAAGAGCAAAAGCGGTGATAGTGAAGTACAAAAACTGCACCGGCGAAAAGTTTGACAGCGAATATTGAATTGAACCCAAATTCCTCTAACCATATGCAACACGCTGCGTGACCGGAAATATATCTATGTTGATACGACCGCTGGTCTCACATTTACATATATCTCTACAGATTGCGTAGTGCCCCCGGCTGATCAGTGTTGCAAGGTGGCCTACCACAAGAGCATCAATCGCTAGGTAAGACGGTCGCTAACGCAGTTCTACATCTGGCCCGACTCCATTATGTCGCGACTAGCTCAGGAAGCATATTTCTCTTTGCACCCTCGGCCATCTAGGGCACCAGAGCTAGGCCGTCCGACGCGGCCATTTGCAATAAATCCAGAACCCAACTTTTGTATAACTAATCACCACTCTATCCATAAGGCTTTAGTAGCCCAGACAGACACTATGTAAGACTCGCCTCACTGGAGGAGCTCAACATCCAATCCAATCGAACGCATGAAAAGGTTGACGTTCTGGAGACGCTGCGAAGCCAGGTCCTGAGGCAGGGTCTTAGAGAGGGCGACCGTGTCCATGACACGGTCCTTGACAGCCAAAACGAGTCTCTGTTGCTGGTCGGGACTGGCGCCGATGCCAATGGCGGCAAGCAGCTGCCAAACATAAACATCCTCGCCCGAGTTTACGGTGCCAGGGAAGATGTGAGGAAGAGAAGGCTCGATCAGGTCAAAGAACTGGCCGTATGTTGCATCCCTAAAAGCAGGTTAATAACAAGTATCAAATACTCGGGATAGGAAGGTACATACCAAGCACGCCAGTCGTGCTCACTTCCACCTCCACCGTGCTTGATGATTTCAGCGCGGCTGAGGATCATAGTGAGCATCGACACCCCGATCTTGCTCTTGGCAATAACGCCCACATTACGGGTGCAAACAAGACCAAGCACTCCAGCAACGAGGTCTAGGCCAAGCTCATTCAAAAAGTTGAAGAGAGTAGACATGACAGCAACCGAGAACAGCTCGACGTTTTCGCGCATCGCGGCGTTCAGTTGAATATCCCCCGTTGTAACCTGAGCATTACGGACAACATCCAGGCTGTCCAGATTGACAACAATGAGGGTGAGGATCGTGGTGCGTTGTTCTTGCGTGGTGTGGCGGAAGATACGTGGCATCGCCTTCTTCCCCTTTCTATAGGAAAGGAGAGCAATAAAGGGATGGATCTGGGCGCTGGAATGGTCGTGGATCCGCAGTGCCTTCCAGAGTTGCGCGTTCAAGGCCTGCGCATCATTGCTCCATGCAACGAACCTCTGAATGGCTTCTGCGTCGGCGTCGCTAGCAGGGGGAGGAGGCATGATGCGATCATGGTCTTCCATCTTCATGAGTGTGGTGTAGATCGACTCGATGGTGCGAAGTTCGCTCCTCTTATCGGTACCGTGCTGAGGCTGCTTGTGTGAGCTGCTAGGACGATGAGGCTCGTTGGAGCTGTCATTGCGCTTGATGTTGAGCAGGGGCTTAGGGGTTTTAGCGTTGCTGAATGAGATTTTGCCCAGACTGCCCTCGATGACGAGCTGCTTGTTTTTGGGCTTGTTCTTCGCAGCTTCGACCGCACGCTGAACCTGCTGCTCCATTCGCTGCATGTGGTTCTCGGGCCCACGGTTGTGGCGCCGAGGACCGCCCTGTCGACTGCCAGTCTGGTACAGGTAGGTTTGGGCGAAGTTGTTGAGGGGCTGGCTCGGGTGTTGACGGCCG